CGCTGGCGGGGGAACAAGAAGCGAGCGCTGGCTAAATGAGGTTGTCTTACTGCAGGATCTTGCAAAACTTACAGTGAGTAGCTAAATTTAAGGCCCTTGGATGGTAGAAATGATGGTTTTTGCATTTTAGTGATGGCTGACTAAATTGCTTGCTTAGCCACTGTAAAGCAGGTAAATGCAGATTGCGAGACACCCAGCCGCGCACGCAGGCGGATGCATTTTATGCTATACAGGTGGCATTTGCAGCAATATGTTCCTGATCTTTGAGTCCATGATAAAAGGTGCCAACCATAAAACCGCTACCAAAGAATCAGTACGAAGGGTCAACTTCATAAAGTAACGGACACTCATATAAAATTGTAATTTGCCGAAAATTAGGTGATTACGGAATTTGGCGTGAAGTGTGTTCGGTCGACCAACGCTTATTTTTGGCCGTCGTTCCTACTAACATTAACACAGTAGTTAGTGACCAAACATGGATCAGTCATCTCGGATTTGATTTATTTCTGACTGCATAAAGGTTTTAGATTCAACACAAAAAAGACTAATTTAGATCAGTACTATACAAACTAAAATTCCATAGATATGAATGCAAATCAATTATCATTTCATATGTCACAGCGTGCTAATTGTCTTGATAACCAAGTTTGTTTGTTACAATATTCAAGGGTACCCAACAACTGCTTTCTGTAAAATATCTGTTCGCAGAAGCAAATTTTGACTAGAATTTTCTATTACCTGAGGAAGGCTGAAAATTTCTAGATGACCGTTCCATTCATGTGCAACTTTCGAAGCTCATCTAATAAATTCCCTACGATTTTCTGAAGTTTAATTTTTCACATTTCACTACACAGGTTAGGCTATTTTTCGCAAAAAAGTAAACCTAAAATTTTTGGATTTAAAAACGTGATGGAGAGAGGAATCAGAAAAATTCTCACTTTCGTTAAATTTCTTGGAAATAATACTGAAGCCCTTGTAATTTCGTTTATTGTTTATTGTTTTGTTTGCCAAAAATTGTACAAATCAAATAAAATCTAATTACTTAAACTCTCATGGCGAGGAAGCCCAAGAGAAGCCACCGGGCTTATAAGGAATGGGCTCCCTCAGTTAGATAATTAGAACAAAATATTATCATAATTACACATGGGAAAATCAATGGCAGAGCTACAGTAAATCTTAAAATAAGTATATTAGATAGTCGTACTAATCATAGTTCTAGGCTAAACAAAGCGAAATGACAAAAAGAAAAAAAAGAAAGAAAGAAAAGAAAAGAGCAAAGGAAGAAAAAAAAATACATATGTATATACATATATAAATTACTATTTATGATAAGAGGAATGCTTTCAGCTTACAGCAAAAGGAAGCGGTACTTGTTGCATTTCGAATTTCAAAACTAAGAGAGTTAAAAAATCTAGGACCTTGGAAACTGATGGAGAACTTTCTTATATTAGTCCTGCATTGTGGTAAATAAAAATACTCTGAACTTCTAGTGCCATAAGAATGCACCTGGCGTGTCACCAAAAACATGTTATTGAAGCTATAAGGAAGTAAGCCAGATCTGTATTGATACATAAATTTTCCTATTTGAAGTTTGTAGATACTCTCAAGATTCAGAATTTTTAAATTTTTAAATAAGGGGTCAGTGTGAGCATCGAAAGCACTCCTCGACATTATTCTTACGACCCGTTTTTGAAGTGTGATTAATCTTCTGAGGTTTGATGGGTAGGTCGATGC